GTAGGATTTCATTCTTTTTAATGCCTTAAAATGTCAGACTAAGCCTCTAATAATTCACTGTTACCCAATAGAACCAGTTTTAGTTTAAAGCAAGATGACAAGCTTCAGCCTATACTAGCCATCCCCAGAACCTCTACGTTTCCATTTGGGAAATCCCTTTTATCCTTTCTCTTCCTCCTCTTTGTTTAACTCTTTCATTCTTCCTGTCTTTTGTTTACTGTCTGCCTTCCTCTCTTTCTCGCCTGCTGATAATTTATCTTTTAGTTTTCCTCTGTTGCAATTTCTCAACAAAGCAGTCCCATTCTTACAAGAGTTAAAAGTGATTTCCTTCATTGGGAAGAAGAAAAAGAAAACACTCAAAAGGGAGGAGAGGAGACTGATGGTGGCGGAGTTCACAACAGATTCCTTCTAATCTGTTTTGATGCTGTTTTAGTTCCAATGCTAGTGCCAGGCAGGAAATTCAACTGTGTGGAAAAATGAGAACAAGATGGAGAGGAATGAAAGACAATAGGTGGGTAAGGTGACCTTTTCCCTGCTGATGTACACGCAAAACCATTCAAGCACACAATTATTCATATATCTGGCATACTTAGATAAAAAATCAAAATCAAAATTACGTCTCTAAAGATCATGACTCAATTTAAGAGTATCAATTTGGGTTGAAAAAAAATGTCTCATTTATACATATGAACCCTTTGCGTGTTATTGTTTACATAAGGAAATGTTGCGCATGCGCACAATGTTGGAGGGCAAAAAGACAATACATTTACATGAGTTGTGCTGTCGCGGTACAACTAACCAGACAAAATCTGGCGATGTGGGTATTATTCATTTAGTGCAATGTGCCATTGTAGAACAACTCAAACTCACTTTATCTCGCTCTCTTTGTCGGCTACTCTACACAGACGCAGAGTCGTTGTCATAGCGGCTTACAACAACGCCACTGTGTTTCAGGATTCAACACCAAAACACAAAGAGGAGAACATTCAATCCATCACTGTATTATGCTTTTAGGCTTGATGTTTGTAATTATTAATAAGTGATCCGTGTCTATCGCTGCCATTAGCTAAGCTAACACAGCGGTGTTTGGTCTGCTCTACTCATGATGTGGGTCGCCTTTTTTTATTTTATAGCTGAACCAAAACACACCAAACGCTACATCACATGTGTTAAGGTTGTCAAACTCTACAGTCCTACTTCCCTCTCCCTGGTTGTGGTGTTGACAATTAGCAGCAAAGCTCTGCTACTAACATATTACTAACAATATAATATTAGGTGCTTATTTAAGATATTGTGCGATATATTGGTTCTTACAAGATTTATTATTTGGGTATTATATATTGAAATTGTGTCAATGGAAGAATAAAATCAAACTTAAAATAATTGTATTTTCATCTTTTTTTAAAACACTTAAAATATGTAGACATTTTTTAAAAATAAAACCATATTTAAGTAAAGGAAATTCAGCACTCCACATCCTGGTAATAATGTATGCGGTCTCTGCACGCGGGTTTTTGGATTCTGAGTTGTTTTTTATGGGTAATCACACACAGAAAGTCTGCAGTACATAACTGCATAACTGAGAAAGTGTATCACATCATTTTAACGTGTGCGGTTTGTGTTGGAGAAGTGGATTAAATGTCATGCTCTGCCACGTGATGAACTGATATTATCCAGCACTTTTAAACTGTTGTGACTGATAATGTTAACACTTGTCTTACGGTGTTTTTGTGCCAACATGAAAACCTATTTTTGATCACAAGCTGCTGACATAAGGATGTCCTTCAGGTAACTAGTCCTGTCACGCAGAAGAAGGCAGCCATCAGGTGGCGACGGCTAGGGTTAGCGTGGAGGTCACTTGGGATACAGGACAAGGAGCCGGGGCAGGAGATGGAGGAAAGGCAGCAACACACTCCCGGCAAAAGACCAGTAACATGAAGGCACCACAGGGGTCACTGCAGCTTGCTATTAATGTGTTGCACGCGAGCCCAGCCAGATTAAGACACTTACAGGTCTACTGAAACTATTAGAGTAGTATCTGGTATCAATGTGATGCATTTCCCATGAGTGTCAAAGTTAAAAAAGAGGAAGCAGAATGAAGCGCAGTGCAGCTGGGAGATGAGTGCGTGATGTATGTGACCGAGCTGAAAGAGACTGTTGAATACTTGCTGAATGGGAGAGGAATGAAGAATGAGAAGCAGTGTGTCATTTCTGTCTCTATCAAATGTTCAGCTGATCTTCACTGGGTCACTATGAGGAAAGAACGACTCCTTTTAATCCTCTGATTGAGCACTTAAGTCTTTCTCCCTCACAAGATCCTAATTACAAGAAACCTTTTGCTTCATGGAGGATTTCTCCTCATCCTTCACTGACATTAATCCGTTCCAAGGGATGTATATTAAGAGCTGAATCAGGTTTTTTTGGGGGGTGGATGAAAACAAAATCCAATCGGGATTCAGCCTTGAACTCAACACTTTCCAATCGATACCGATACATGACAAGTTGAAAACTCCCTGTGGAAAATTGGGCCTGTTTTTTCTGGGACTCTGTGCCAAAGATGAGAGCTGCACCACATTACCATAATGCAACAGGAACCTAACAAATGAAGCTGCAATGAATTCCAGGCAGCAAAAGCAAAGGATTGAGTGTTCTTCCCGGCTGCACAAGTCCTGTCCACACTTACAGACTCCCACTCTCATCATCGTTTTTCCTTTTTCCGAGAGCCAAGGGTGAGCAGAAAGCAGGCAGCTGATGGTAGAAGGGAGAAAAATGACAGTGCTAGACAAAGGTTGATTAAATTGGTTTTCAATTCTGGGTGTCGCTGTCTGAAACCACTGCATTAATTTGCTCCATTACATATTTGAGAGCCAGTGAGTGTATTAAGAGCTGCTGTATATCATATCTGTGACGGTTCTGAGAGCTCACTGCCAAAAACAAAAGGCCAGTGTCCATTTATCCCGGCATTAACCGAGGTGACTCAGCACACATAGCCTGGATTTCTCTATTGGTTCATGTAAAAGTTTCTTTGGTCAGTGCTGCTTGCTTGCTTTTTGTTTGTTTGTTCTTTTAAGCATGTCCTGTCTGGCAGCGGCTCACTCAGAATTGTTGTCTGAGTGCAAGGAGAAGCTCAACAGCTTTACTTTCAAAAGCGGAGCATGATGACTTTTGCTATATGATGCTTCACTTGATAGAGATACAAATATATATAACTCTATGTGAAATAGCTTTTGGTTTATTTTGTGATGAGCATGGACACAGAAAAAACAGAGAGAAATGTTGGGATGAATGTTAAAAGGAGTTTATAAGAGGAAAGGAGAGAAAGAATGATAGAATACAAGATGGCACTATAGGAGGTGTCTTCTAAGTCTGCAGAAACAACAGACTAATTCAATAATTTGGAATATTAGTAAAAAGTCTATTTATTTCAGGAACTTTATCACTAAGTGAAACACAGGTGGATGTTTGGAAACTTTTGTTCCTGTTGAAGATTTCCTTTTACAGATGATCAGATCAGATAATAAAAATACATTTTCAATACAGAAATATAGTCGGGATGAACAGTACGTTAAACATCTGTTCAATAGTTGTCAATTTTCAAAAAAGCACTTCTAATCTGACAAATGTAGTAGACTCATAGTCTAATTTACTGAATATTAATTTACAATATTAAGAACAGTAAACGATGCAAATATAAAGCACTTTGTATTGCCTTGTTGCTGAAAATGTGCTATATAAATAAAATTACCTTTACCTTTACAAATTAATACATAATGCATTTTGTGGCAACCACAGTCCAACATACTGTATTTAAAACATCTAAATAGTCATACCATTCACAATAAGTATCTGTAAGTTTTAAAGTTTTGCAGTATGATTGATATAACAACATAAATCTGAATTTAAAGTTTTAGACCTATTTTATTAGAAGGCAGCAATGGACAGGCTAGAAATACAATTTTAAATAACTATTAAATCTTAAAATGATTTGTTACACTGTTTTTTTTTCAATATTGAAGCATTTTATCAAAATATTGCAATATAATTTTGAGATAATTATAAGAACAACAGAAAGCCTAATGACAGTAAACCAGGCCCTCCTGAACCAGACAGACCTGATTCCTGCCATCCTTGTTTTTAGATGGATACATTTATTTTTACAGAGTCAAAGTCCAAATTACATAAAAAGAAAACCAAATGCAAAAAAATAATAAATCTTTGGAGGAACTCCAAAGCGTCTTTAGTGAAATATGTCCATGATGAGAGATGATTACGCTTCATGCATCAAGAGAGATACCTGTCCTGCCCTAACAGGTGTGACTAAAGAAACAGCAGAACCATAGAGACGTCAGTCAAATCCAGTCGGCACACGTCTGCTGGATGGGAAGAGCTTTCAACCTGCTGAGAGAGAACACCTGTGTAATTCTAATCATTTGATGTTTAAGGTTTTTTATGTGAAGTTAAAATGAAAATGGACTTCAACACTTTCACACCCTCAGCAGTATTGCTCCAGGCATGTCATGTTCATCTGATAATTTCTCCCCTGCATGGCCTGCAGAACACCGCTGTATTCAGAAAGACCCTATTCACTCTCTTTTTCGACAAGCTCAAACATTATAAAGCCAATTAGATGTTTTTTAGTCTTCAGGTTGAGTTCAGCAGTAACAGGCTGGTCCTCCAGAGTCTGAGATCCGAGAAGAAGTTTTATAGATTTAAAGGTTTCACTTTTTTTTTTCTAAAAACCACAAAAGAAGCAGCACCCGAATTCTGACACTTTACCAATGGCAAGTTGTGTCCCATGAAACTGGCTCATCTATAGGGAACGGCATAGAAATTAGAGACACTAGCCAGTCCCAACACCCAAATTAAAAAACCTGCATTGGTAGACTGTAGCAGGTGTGGATACCAACTGGTTTTGCTTTTCCAACCTAGCAAAGAAACCATACATTTAAAAAACAACAACAACAAAAAACAGAAGCTGTCTATTTGAAATAACTGTTGAATTCTTTTTTTAGCATGAAATGCTTCAGTTTTATTTTATTTGGCCTTCATTGTAAAAACACCCCTAGCAATCGTGGGAAACGAGGGGTAATTTATTAAACCATAATTTTGTGATTACCACATGTGATCACAGAGAAGGCTGTTTAACAAATGTCTGTTTTTCCTTTTCTTGCCTCACTTTTAAGTCAAACTGCTACCATTCAAGGTCCACCTCAGTTTCTGCATTCTCACGTGACTCCAGCTCCATGCAAAGGTGAGATACATGTGGAAAAAAGGTAAGAGCAACATATTTTATAGATATGTGCAGGAGGTTTGAGTTTTCCCATGTTGGTTTTCTTCTGAGACTGAATGTTCGTGCTGCCTGCATGAGGGAAATCACATTTAAATCTCACTGTTTGCCTTGGAACCCAAAAACACAAATGAGTTGTACTTAATGAGCTGAAACGCATAAAACAAAGACACAGCCCCGTTGGGTTGTAGAAATGATGCTTATTAAAAGGCAATAATGAATCACCAACAATTTGCCTGATGATGTAGCACAAGTTATCCCTTCTTAAAACTTTTAAAAGTCACAGGCTAAATGAGAAAACCATGACATTAACAACATACTTTTGTTTTTGAACAACATTTGATTGATGACAAAAACTGAAACGTTACCATGAAAATCTTAATGACTGGTAATGATGGAGACTGCGCTCCATCCCTGCTTCCTGTGCACACAAACACACAGATACACGTATGCTAACAGATGCCTGACCCCCTGCACCTTCTCAGCATTTGTGCGTGTGAAATGGATCGCTTCAGAGCTGTCAGCATTCTTTCAGCAGAACTATTCATTCTGTTTTTTTTCCATTCGAAGCGAGTGCAGGTGTTTACTGTAAGGAGGAGAAGAAAGGACGAGAACGTCAGCGGCCTCCTCAGAGCCTGGATGGCAGATGGAGAGGAGCAGGAATACAGAAACTCGAGGCAGAAAGGCAAAGTAAAATAAAACAGATAGCGAGAATGGGTTCGGTGACGGCCAGAGTGCCAACTAAATATTGTCTTTCTATCAACAGGCAAGTGAATAGGGAAGAATCCGATCCATGTGGGAAGGAAGACCACCCGTAATGAGGGCAGAAGCTCAAAGTGCAGGTCAGCCTTTAAGGCAAGAATGAACCATTTTGCTTTCTCCTCAGTTATGTTGTACTTTTTGTTGGAGTTTTTCATGAGATTATATTTTTAAAAGTCCTGCAACAGGTTTACATGTATACAGGAAGAACCCCATTTGATGAATCTGTCCAGAAGCGTTGTAAGAAAATGCAATATTTAGAGGAGTTTAAAGCTGTTTCGTTATATAAAATGTCCCTAAGTACAATACTGTATTTATAGTAGCTCAAGCATTGAGTCAAGGGTCATACCAAGAGTCTTGTAGGCAGTGCTGTAAATCCTCCTCCTGTTTCTCTGGTGAAATGTGCAAACATCCTGATCAATACATCAGGTGGGTTATTTATGCAGTCCCCGATGTGGGTGGACAGTTCGGATGTTCTCTCTTATCAGTGAGGTTAACTCTAAAATGGACTACAAATTTCCACTCAAACCTAAACGAGGTCTTCAGTATAGTGTGTGTGTGTGTGTCTGCGTGCGTGTGTTTGTGTGTGTGTGTGTGAGTGAGTGCATATGCCTCTCCCCTGTTGTAAATATTCCTCCATCCATCACATTAGCCTAATGAAAAGTAATAAGAGCGCTCCAAATGATCTCCTCCCTGAGGTTGTCTTTGAGCTGTGTGAAATAAGATAACATTAACCTGAGTTATATGGCCTGCCAACAGGAAGTGCCATAACAAAACACACACACACACACACTCGCATGGGACCACACATCCATCTTACCCAGCATTTACCCTCCAACTGGGAGTCATTGTGTCACCATAAACTAGCATTGATATGAAACAATAGCAAACACAATCCATAAATGTGGTTTCTTCCAGTTGCAGGGATCTGCATGTTTCTGACCAAGACTCCTGGTTTAGTTGGTTGGGTTTATCGTTCTTTCATATTCCGATGTGGATTTTAAAACTTAGAAAAGTGTCAGTACGTCAGCTGGTTTACAAAGTCAGAAAAACCTGAAGTAACTGATCTTAAGGATGTAGAAGAGGATGGAGAAAACAGAAGCCTAACAAGCTAACAAAATAACAAATGTTTTTTTTTCTCTCTCTCTATCTATCGCTCTCTTCACCTTGAGTTCAACAGGCAGGTGCTGCACACTGAATCAAACATTGTGGAAATACTGGACTGAAAAACAACATAAAAAATATTTCACGTGAGTCTTTCGCCATGGGTACAACATGATTTTGGAAGGAACTAAATCTTGTCGGACTCAGTTTACACAGTCTTTCTGGGGGTTTAGTACTGCAGACATAAAAGCTGTCTGCTGGAAAGACCTTAAGAGTTGTCAGGTTACTTCAGAGATAGAAAATAATTTCCAGGAGTGATATTGGTCAAAAAAAGAGAAATAAAACCCCCAAAATCAATTTGATATTTTTGGTTAATCTTCCAATAAGAGCAAGTCCTGAGAAGGAGCTGCTCAGGACAGAAGTAGTAAATGAAGGAATAAGTAATCTTCCCATCATAAATACTGCGGCTGTGACAAAATAATTCCTTTTCTAATATTTATTTCATGTTCAGTTCTACATCATGGTAGATTTCCACGAGGATCTATTGCAGTGTAAAATTCACTTTTCTCAGCCTCTCAGGTGAAGGGACTAAAGTTACATTTGATATATGTTTAAACCACTTTACTTTGAAATGGTACAAAAAACATCTGAACTTCTCTCTGTATTTGCTGCAGTAGACAAATACAGAGAGAATCTCCAGAGTTCTGTGCTGGAAGATGAGGAAGAGATCAAGAAGAAGTGAACATCACCTGGTTAATACTTTGGTGAGCTGATCATTTTCTTCCTGTCTCATGCACTCCTGTTTTTTCTCTCTGACAGATTTATTAAAAGGCATGGATCAAAGCAATTCCCCAGCTTGTTCCTCTAATCAATCCTTAGTTTTCCTCTCCTTCAGCTGACAGCTTCTTCTCCTTCATCCTCGCTGCCTGTCTTCCTCTCCTTCTCATGGCCCAGGCCTGAGTTCTTGAGGTTAGAGCCAAAGTGGGAGAAGTAGGTGATGGGGAAGGACGCGAGGAGGAGCGGAGAAGTCAGACATTTCTTTGCTTTCCCGTGCCTGGAGTTTTATTTTCTCATAGTTTTTCAGCAGAGTGTGTACTTTCAGGAGAGCAATCTAAACCATATGTCACTGTTAGGAGTGAGTGCGAGCTTACGTGGGCAACTATTATCTTTCCATTTGTGTCAATGATGCTCTGTGCTGGATGTAAAGCCTATGACTTGTCAGTGGAAACATCAAACACTGACAGGTGGGGCTGTTTCACAGCAGTTAGTCTTCTGAAATGCTTTCAGCTGAACAAAGAGAAACAGGATCAAAACAGAAAGATTCCAAGTGGAGGAATAAGCAATTGCACAGTAAAGCTTACATTTCTTTATTTTACTTTGCTACTATTTTTAGGGTTTGCCACAGTACACACATTTAGCAAATAATGTGACATTTTCCACAAATTTTGAAAGGTGTATGGTTTTCTTAGTGAGAAACCAGTTTGATCACTTGGTCAGCAATGTCTTACCATCAGCCTACACCCATGGTCTCCATGGCAACCGACCGCAATGCTAGCTAATGGTTGGTGGTAAACTGAAAAACTCCACATTATGTAGATGTTGCCTCTGCAACCATCAGCATTGTGATTCTGTCCATTTAGGTGTAAATACTGAAAGAACTTGTTGCTGCAAGTTCATCTTTTCTTTTATTCACCAAAACATAGAAGCAAAGTTGTCTGTCTGTCCGTCAACTGTCTCCTCAAAACGAGTCGTGGATTAGCTCAGTTAACTCGGACAACATCAGTTTAGAGTGACCGTTCAGCATCCCAACAGTAGCTCAATAAAACATTTTAAAATGGACTTCAGACATTTTAAAATGTCAAACTCTGCATATCACCACAAACACACCATCATCACTGTGAAGCATGGTGGTTGTAGCAGCATGCTGTGGGGACATTTGTTGGCAGGCTCTGAAAGGTTTGTAAAGATAGAAAAATATCAAATTATAGGGAACCCTGGAGGAGAATTTGTTTCCTGGAGCCAAAGGTGCAGCTCATAAATATTAACTTGAAAAGGGGGACATTTTTATGCAATCACTCATTTTGTGTTAAATATTTGCATTTATTGGGGTTTCTTGGTAATATTTTTGGCTAAAAAGTCAATTTTGTTTGTTCGTAATGATACAAGAAGATAAATATTTGTCAGATCAAAGATGCTTTTGAAAGGCATAGGAAGAGCTTCACAGTAAATATCAATGTCAGGTCTCGCTCTGACATTATTTCAGGAAGACCTGCAAAAGTTCATTTCTTAGTGGTAAAAAAAAGCAAACTTTTGTTATTGCTGTTTGAAGAATATCAAATTAAAAAAAATACCTAATCCTGGCGATCCTCAGGATAAGGACACAAAGGCGAAAAGAAAAATGGGAGAGAGACGAAGTCAGTTAAAAACTAGCATTCAGGGTTCCTCCACTTCATCCTGGTCTCCCTGTCTGCCATGATGCCAGCAGCAGCAAAGGACAGACTCAGCCAGCCACCTATCAAAGGCTTTCTAATGAATAGTCCTCTAATCCCCTCATTGAGATACAGAGAACGGACTCGCTGCTAATGCTCCTAGACAGAGATGTACTCATTCTTTTCCCTCTTCTCTCTCCCTCTCATATTTAGTATCACACACAGATATAGAAAAATATGCAAAAAATAAAACCACCCGTACCTGTGCTTCATTCAGATGCAAACAGCATGTTTCTTGTTTTTTTGGAATCTAACACAGGTGTCTCTCTTCCCTCCTCATTCACACAGACAACAGTACAATGCAGCAATATTCTGCCTTTGTACTCGACCATAAGCTGCATTAATTACTCCCACAGCAGAGTGGGTTTCAAAGAGGAAAGACGAGTGACGCTCGTCGTCTTGGAGCCAGTTTGTTTATGAGCTGGCTCTGTGAGCGAGAAACATGGAGTCATTATGTTCAGATTGATGGAGGAACTCACGTCTCGCCTTGTCTTTCACCAAGATAATCAAACGTACTCTTGTGTTTTGACATCCACCTTTCTTCTTTAACACATATTGCGTAATTCATCAGATGTACACCCAAAAACCTGTTTTTTTTTTTTAGATTATTGACATGCTGAGGAGGACGTTACTACCAGGACATTGAACCGGGGGAAGAACGAAAACATGCAGGATACTGAAGTGATATTGTGTATATTGCACAATATTTTGTGTAGAAAGTAGCAGAAGAAGTTGGACTCTTCAGAAAGAGGGCAAAATCTTTAAGTGGAGAACTTCTTGTTTCGTTCCGGAGTCCTGGTGGCATAAAGCAAGGGATGGATAGAAAAACCAAGCTTGCTTTGTTTTACTTCAATGTGAGCAGTCTGTGAGCAGTCTGTTGTGGTGAAGAAAAACCTGAACCATATTGAAAGCTGATCTAAGTTTGTGAGAGATGAATCCTGACCAAATGAACAAGAACCCGGATACAAGCAGCTAATATGAGATTCCTCTGTAGCTGGTTGGCCATGTGGCTCTGTTCCACTAGCACCGACTCAGCTGCAGCAGACCTGGCTGAACTCTAACATTTACATGGTACCAGCCCCTTTGTCTGAAGCCTACCTCACTGGGGCTTCAAGCGTACCAAGTTAGACTGAAAAGGTAACTTCACCAGACTATGGTCACTGTCGTTTACAGCTCTTGAAACAATGAAGGGCCCATTGCACTGAACCCCATTGAAAACCTTTCACCAAATACTGATTTCTGAACTCTTCCTGAGTTAAAACATTAGTACTGTTGTTTCTAAATTAATATAAACTTGTTTTCTTTGCATTATTTGATGTCTGAAAGCCCTGCTTGTTTTTTTGTTTTGTTTTTCCCATTTCTCATTAAAAAAAAAGTACAAAATGTTTGCTTGGAGACATGTCAGTAGTTCAGAAAAATAAAGAACAATGTCAATTTTACTCAAACATATTCCTATAAAAATTAAAATCAGAAAAATAGATATTATAAATTTACACACAGCAGAGCATCAAACCATTGTTGGCATCCACCACTGAAAAAAGAAAGAAGAAAAGAAGGAGAAAGAAGTACAAGCTGAAACATGTTGCTTTAGAGAAGGGCACCGATCGCCTCAGACAGTTTGCAAAATCTTATAATGAATCAAACAAATCAGTAGGAAGGTTAATTTTTCAGTTAATGTGTGCAAACGGCGAATTGTTGGTGGCAGATTTAAACTAAACGGTCAACTTTCTTTTCTCTCTTTCTTTGTTTTGCTGTTTTGTCCTTTCATTTTGCTTCTGGACTTGAACACAGCTTCAACTAGAACCGGCAGAATGCTTGTTGATGGTGAGATCGAAGCTTTTTATTTTTTCAGTTTTGAATGTCTGATCTGTTCTAGTCAGCTGTTTTCACTTTGGATATGAAATGAAATAATCTTGCAGGTCTTGTCCACCTGGAAACAGTTAGCCTGAGTATGATGGAAAGTAGTGGTGCTGGGGAGAAAAACAAAAGGAGCACGATGATGATGACGATCGATGATAAAGATGAAGTCAAGAGCTGAAGAGGAAATGTTTGTTGTGGAGTTTAGAAAGAAAAGGAAAATGAATGACAAATTTGAAAAGAGGGAAAACAGAACAATGTGCAATGGTGACCCGATCCAAGGACCTGGATTTGTTCTGCTCCGAGAGTCCTGTTTGCTTTGGCTTTGCGTCGATTGGGCCATCTGGTTCCCCACCTCGCCTCCTTCTAGCTCCGAAAAAACCAGACAGAGTCCAGAAACAAGGTATCACTCAATAAAAATAAAAAAAATCAACAACAACAAAAAATAAAACAGGTCCAGGAATACACCGTGATCTGTAATCCATACAGCTCACAGATGCCGGGCAGCGGAGAGAGCTGTGAAGCTGAACTGGGTTTAGCTACAGCTGGAGGCGGGTGATGTCAAAATAGGGCAAGGTTTCTGCTGCTGGAAACATTTCCCTAAAAGAAGAACAGAGTTCCACCTTTTGCAGCACTGGGCCTGTGACTCACCGAGCTAATTCCAGATCTCTAAGAAAGATTTCTTCCTCTTGGATGGCCCTCATGAGCTGGAAGGGTCTACTGCTCCCAGCAAGCAGAGAGAACTGGCACAAAAAAAATCATTCACATTCAAAAGAGCTGCTCTTTTTTTTATAGTTTCTGGGACAATATCTTTCAGCGGTTTAAAAATTTATTATTTTCAGTGATCTGTAAAATCTTTTAACTGGAAACTGGAGTTTTTATAATCGTTAAACTGTGGCTACGTGTTAAGATCTGTGTCTTCCAGGCTCACCACCTTCAAAGAGCCGTTGGTTTAATTTAGCATATTTAATGCCTAACATCTTCATCCCAGTGTTCATGATCAGGTTGATGATATGACCCGGTCCCGTCGGCTCCTTTATGTTGCTGCTTTTCTGCTACATTTTCTCCTTTATTTGTGATGGAAGGTCAGTGCTCAGGGTCAGGCCTGTTAACAAGGTGATTCATGCTAATTACAGACAGAGCAATCAATGGAGATGACTGAAAGTGGCATTAATCAAAGCCTTTAGCTAAGTGGCAACATTTAAAATGGCTTTGCGAGATCAGGGTTTTTTATCACTAAATGGGTACTGCCTGAGGTGATGTGTAGAAATCAGTCAAATGAAAAAAAGGGCATTTTGATTAAAGCTTAAAACAATTATATACCCTTACATCAGAGTGTATTTTTTTTATTTTAATAATGATCAAATTATGGGGATCCCTATAAAATTATTAAATAATAATATAAAATCATTGAAAAAACCTAAATCTCATCCAAATCCACATATTTGTACATTTTGGTCCTTCGAAACTAAAAACTCTTCATTTTCAGTCTATAAGCGACCATCAGCCTGTATGCTTTTTCAACTGAATTAAATTCCAGTAAATGTGAGTGATGATATGCTTTGACACGTAAGTGGGGATAATTGAAGGTAATTCCTACATTCAGAAAATGAAAATCTGCAGGTCAGACATCAAAGCAACCTGGTAATAGTATCGGCCCTGAAAAGCCTGATCATCACTCCACTACTGCTTTACTATTTTGACATTTAATCTGATATACCAAATATTCCAGAACCTATCCACACTGATTATTTTCTCGGTCGAATGGGTAAAAAAAAAAAAAAATTAAAACTGTTTGGGCATGTGTAAAAAACACACACGCACACAGTCGTCCTCATTGTTTGGAGAGCTGCTCCATGACCCAGAGTTTTCCTCTGCTCTGCATGTGGAAGACCTTTTCTGAAATTTGCCACATTTTAAATTCATATGACACAGCCACTGACCTAATTCATGCCTCAACCCTGCGAGGATCCTGGTGCTGCTGCATCTGCATAGTTAACAGGAGGATGGAGATTGAGAGGGAAACACTGCGCTCTTTGTCGAAGCTTTATCTTAAACATATGAGCTTCTTCTGCTGCCATGATTCAGGGAAGTGGATGAGCCCGCTCTCCTCGGTGTAACTAAACCAGTGTGTGCCGTTACGGTGGGGGGAGGAATCCATGCAGTGATGCCCTGTCAGGGAGATGTCACCAACATGCTGATGAATTAAAACAACATTGGAATAATCAAACAGTGGCTGGGCTAGACTTGGTGTCACTGCGTGCATAAAGCAGAGTTTTATTGTTCTGCCTGTCTACGTGTTTACCCACTTGTATGAATGTTTGCGCTGTGTCTACGTTGTATTTGATTTTGAGCTTTGTGCAAATGCTCATCGGCGCGTTCCGCTGTGTTTGCTTGTCTTTTTGATAAAACAGCCGAGTGACAGCAACCGGCAGGGGCGAAAGAAGAATGCGATGCTGTTTGACGTGCCGAAATCCTGTCTCATCCCCCGCTGTCTGCCTGAGAGCATGCCGAGATATGGATGGAGAGGGGAGATAAGTGGAGCGTAAATGTTTCTTTACCACATCTTATGTTCTTGGACAGTCGCACTTCATCCCTCTCTATCTCCTACCATCTCTGCGCACTGTCCTCCAGGCCTGGGAGGCGCTCCAATGAAGCTCTCAGACATGCTGAGCAAATTAAGCACCGTTAGAGATGAAATGTTGCTGCTGAAGATGCTATCAGGACAATAAACCAAAGCCAGTAACCACTTAGAAAACCGTGAGAAGCCTGTTCCTGGTTAAGCAAAGATAGCAAGCGACAAGATAAATCCATAAACCTTTTTCTGTTTTATAGGCTGACTTTGTGTTTATTTTTCTAAACTCTTTTTTAGGGCTACCACATTTCTGTGAAAATGTCATGGAAGTCAGCGGTCCAATTCTCAATGTCGTACCTCAATTTTAAAGAGGCAGTGTTATGTAAAATCAGCTTTCTTGAGCTTCAAATTATGTTATAATGGCATTTCTTCATCAAAAACATACCTAGAGTGTTGTTGTCGTTCTTTCATGGATGTTTGAAAAATCGTTGACTCTCCACTGGTACCTGCTCTGGGAGCAAGCCATGCTTGCCCAGGGAACAAACAAACTCAGCTGCTGCTTAGGGAAGTCCCATGACTCATAACACAGAAATATCAGAGGTTTAATGACATTCCTTATGTACATAAAAACCATTTGGTCTTAATCATATTAAAAGAATGAAAAGCCTGTGAAATCCTTTATGCATTTATGTGTTGCACAAATTCCTTTTTTAGGACTAAAACCTCAGTGAAGAAACTTCTTCAGGTCTTGCCAGAAACGAGACACTAAAAAAGCCCACCAAGTTGTTTTTCTCTAAAACAAGAATTTTAAAAATCAACCAAAACCTTTGTTTTCTGTGTTCCAGCAAACCAAACTTTCAAAGCAACCTATAACATTGGGATGTCCCCACATGTTTCCAATACAGACAAGTGTGGTCTGTCTTAATGAAAGCCACAGCAATAACTAATTGGCTTTGTTCACATTTTTTTTTCATTTTCAAAAATAATACAAAGTGAAAAAAACAATGCATTATTGTCAACTGGAGGTACATAAACTGTGAACACAAGACAGATGGAAATTTAAATCCAAGTTTGTACATACAACATAGGAAGCCTGTTTCTAAGCATGCAGCATATTAAAAACTGTTACCTCATGAAGCATAAATGATATCAGTCTTCATTTTGCCATGACCTCCAGCTGTGCTTTATTTTAATATGAAGCAGAGACGCCATTGCTCTTTCTGTGCAAACCTGTGTCTTATTATGAGCAGCATAAAAAATTGTGCCGCATCAGGCAGTCGGCACGCCGCATTGTGGCTCAGAACCAGCTCTACCATCCAAATGTGGGCTACGTTGGGACCATATTGGGTGTGAAAGACAACATTAATGAATGAAGTGACTTTTCTTCTCTGCGTGGAGTCGTCTGGATGTGTATCTGTAGATGTGTGTGGGAACCTGCGAATGTCGGCGCACTCGATGAGTGGAGCCGTTAGAGAAGATCAACAGTGCATCAGGCTCTGATCGTCACCCTGAGTGATTCAGTCCGAAGGCCTACAGTGTGGTGAACCAGGACGTCCGCTTTAGTCATTCCTGTGGAGGAGACTGTGCCGGTTTACCGTGGGCAGAGAGTCATGGAGGTGAATTCAAGAAGCAAAAGTCCCAGGAAAAGCTCCAGCTTCCCAAAGCTTCAGTGTCAATGTAGGCTTTCTGGACCAAGTGGTTGTGTTTCTCATTTGCGAGTGGTTTTCAGCAAAGGGTTGAGTCAGATGGGAAGCATTGGATCCTCCCTTCGCTTTGGCACTGCTCTCATAAATCTCCTGTTCCTGTCTCTTTCTATTGGTTTTCAGCTTTTCTCTTTGACAATATAATCTGTTTTTTGATACACGTCCAATGAAAATGTTTAATTTCACTTTGATTCACTCCTCCCCTCTCAGAAGGAGCTTCTCTCACCATTAACACTATCGTCTAATTCCCAGCCGCCTCAAAGAGTTGTTACTCTTCTTCCTCCATGCCGGAGTTTCCCTCCATCAAGCTGTGAAGAAACCAAGAAAATATAAAATACTGCAACACTTAAGCTCTTTCAGGAAATAATTTACACCACATAAAACTTCAACTTTGTTTGATTTTTTTTTTCTTCTTTTCGGGCTTAGAGCAACCACATTTTTTGCCGGATGACACATTTATCAGCTTTACACATAAATTAGACTGATAGAAGATGTGCTCACATTGATTGTATTCAGTTTTTCAAGTGTGTGGAAGATAAAGTGAAATTAATTGATATTTTCTGGCAGTATTGTTAATTTGGTTTACACTTGAATTTGGATTTAAATACATTCAGCGGAGTATCAAGAGTGAGTCCCCTTTTCTACTCTGAGTTATTTTACATCTTAAGTATTTTGGCAAAATGCAGTTTGTCCTTTTTCTTTTTTGACTGGAATCCCTCATACTGGATATATGCAGATTTTTATTTCCATAAATGTGGTAAGGTAGAGATATCATCAATATTTTTATCTTCTTTAAAATTATGTATTGATATTGTTGTTTTTCATCACTAGCATTGGAGGAGGAACACATTTGTTTTGGAGGGGTTGAAATGTAGGTAGGTAGACAGATTATGCTGCCCTGAAACATAAGCCGAAACAAGATAAAACAAATTATTGGTAATTATTTTCAGTCCATTTTTATCTAGGGACCAATACAAATGTGTTATAAAATTAGCGGTGTTAATGCAGATATGCTGCACATCCCTAAATTCATCTGCAGGCCTGGAATAGTAATGACAGTGTTTGGGATGAAGACATTTCCAAAAATAATACTGCATTTATGGAGAAACTTTAACAAACAACAACACATGGAAAGGACATAAAG